ACACACACACACACACACACACACACACACACACACACATGTATGTACGTATATATAAATATGTAATTTTACATTTACATTTTTTTGTGCTGCACAAAGTAAATGTTATAGTTTCTGCCCATGTTTTGTGATATGAAAATATTATGTAGGCCTGGTAAAAATAAACAGCCCCTTGTTCTACGCTTTGCTTTGTACAGAGGGTCCGGAGGGTCTGGACTCTTCGCTATTGAGACGCAATTTCTTGCCTGAGGCGTGGACCAGGTTGAAGTTTAAAATGATTGGATCTGATTTTACCCAATCACTAACATTTGGCCTTGATGCAAGCAGTGTGCCAACTCGACTGTGAAGGAAGCTGCGCTAAGAAGCCAACCGGAAATTGATAGTGCTGTAAACAACCATCCCCTAGATCACTGGCTATTCAACTGGCAGCCCACGGGCCACATCTGGCCTGCGAGTGACCAAAGTTTGGCCCACCAATTGGTTCATTCATCTCTTAAGCCCAAATTTGCAGTTTTCTACCTTAATTACTCTAAGTTCTTTTAGTTAAACATAGACATGTTTGGTATCTACAGAACCATCAGAATCTTGGCTAGAAGCTGGTAAAACCATTTCTATGCACACTCAAGACAGTTAAAACTACAACAAGCAGCTGAAGATAAAACTATTTTTAAAAATTTTGGCAAGTCAGAGATGTCAAAATAATATTTTGGTCAAACATGAGGCATGATGTGTTCTTTTTTGTTTTTGAAATTGTTTAATTATCACTACTTTTACAGGGTTCTGTCTGTTGTATTCATGATTAAATGCAGCAAAATAAACTAATTCAAAGGTAACAGATCTTTGTAATACGTGGTTTATTTACATAATAACTATAATTGCTGGATGTTTGGCCCCTGAGCTGTTGACCTGCAGTAACTGTGGCCCCCGGAGCAGTTTAGTTGAATAGCCCTGCTGTAGATGGAGATGTACCGAGAAGAGAGAAGTACTGAACCAAACGATGTGGCTGTGAGTGAGTGCTGCAAGTTTTGTGAGACAAATTTAATTTGATTTGGAATCCTTGTCAACACTACAGGCAAACTACGGTGCAGGAAATCTACATCGTCGTTTGGCCTGGTTGAAACTCTACCACCGACAAAGCAGTGAAAGAAAACTAGAACTGAGAAATAGAACTGAGCAGAACTGTGTAGGAAGGCAAAGGCCAGGCTAGCATTATGTATTCATATAATGATGATGTGTGTTTTGAATGGTTGGCTGATGTCATTTAAACAATTTAGTTATCTTTTTCATTCCCTTTGAAAAAAGCTATGTCTTATGGTGAGCTTTTTGTTGTGCGTTTCGAATGCAAATGCAACTCTCAAATGCAATGCTGACTTTAGTGAAGATCCCATCTGCCCCTCCACCATAAAATGAATCAAATAAAAACAAACAAACAAACAAACAAACAAACAAAAAAATTGCTGTATAATTTTCTCACATTGTTTTTGCTGCATTTCATCTTTTCTCCTCAAAGACTCAGCCCTTATGTTGACGCAGCCTCGAAAACAAAAACAGATGTAAAATTGTAATCGATGAATAATGTATTACGTCATTGCTTCATTAAAGGTGTCCCCTTCTTTATTTGGTGTGTGTGTGATTTTTGTGCATGGGTGTGTGTCTGTCGTAGGCCTAATAAACATAAATAAATATTCTGTGGATAAAAAAACAAAAGACAAAAACATAATGAGCACAAAAAGTAAGGAAATTTGTGTTGGGCAGATTTGTTGTAACAACACTTCTTGGCAATAAATCTTCTGCTGTTGGAAAGTCTATTCTTTTCCCTTATAAATGGCGACACATTTGTAAGGAATATGCCTTTCATAGAGAATAATAAAACCACTTTACATCAGCATACGTTTTCCACTGCATGGTTATTTATTTAACATTCTGTGTGTTTTTTGCAAACACAAAAGGCTTCGGCATCCTGGGGCATATATCATTACATCTAAAACAACCATTTAATGTAAAACTGACTGAGGTGAAAAAAACATTTGGCTAAACTGCTATAAAAGTTTGGAAACTGGAAGTTTTATTTTATGTTTTTTTTTCTTTTTAGTACGGCATCGATTTGGCCTTCTCTCTGCTTGAATTGGTCAGTCAGAGTTAAATTAAAGATTGTCAATTAAATCACTTGAATTAGAATAAACTAATCAACATCACAAATTTGCTCAGCCAAACAGCTTATTTATCTGTTGCTATTACAGTTAGAGTTATGATCCTCTGGTACCCACTTATTCTGAGTTTTCAAAATTGTCAAAGCTTTTTTGAATTTGGGGTTGTGTATTTTTAGATATTGCATTTACATTGCATAAACCTGGTGTAGGTTGTCTGGAAGCCTCAGGTCCATTCATGTTTTTAATGTTTTTGTTTTACTGCTCTTAATGTATTAGCATCAGTCTTATGACTCATGTTTTGTCTTTGGTTCTGTCCAGCAGCCATATTTGAATCAAATAAACAACAATGCTTTTGCAATCTGATCTTTTCTCGTGTAAGCTGCTAACGGTTCGGTGGAAGGATTTTTATGAAGCACAGCTTTGGGCAAAACATATTTGGGCAACAGATTCAACCACAGCTGATTTATGAGGTTTGGATGTGACACTCATCCAGACATCCCATAATGATCCACCACATGTTGCAGACATTACAGTGGAGAAAAACAGAGAAGGAACAGGACGAACAGACATCAAACGTTTACAGAAAACAGAAGGAATAATCAATACCTGTCCTGATCTCTGTTACCAGAAGGGTTTCTCTGTCCCCTCAAGGCTGCAAGTTGCTTTTATTCTCCTCCAGCCTCCTTGCATGAGAACCTTAAATCACCACAAGACGCCTTCTTCCTTCTTGTGAACGCAAAATAAGCTCTACAACACCAAGACTGATAAGATCCAGAGGAGAGCAGCTTGAATCTGAAGTGTTGAGAGGGATGGATAAGGTCAGGAGGAGAGATGACCAGGAGAAAAGGAGAGTGGATATTGATATTAAGAATGTCACTCATTCAGTTGCTCAGTCAATGCATTAATCAGTCTTCTGCAGTTTGGGTTAATTTGTCGCAGATGTTGATTGGACCATGAGAACATCTTGACTTTGTACTCTTACAGGAGAGCAACAACAGCAAAAAGTTTATTTGTCTTAATGATTAAAGCTGATCTCCTGTTGATTCAACACTCCACGCTTATTTCTGACACCGACAGTCTTAGATTGTCTCATAAGCTTTAGCTTTAATTCCTTTTCTCTGTTAGTGACTGAAGGGTTGGTTAATGTGAGACAAACAGGCCACCGATAATAATTCACACACACGCTCAACACTAAAGGGAGTGTTGCGTGTCCCATTAACCTACATCTTTCATTCATTTTCTGGTCATTTTATAGCCTAACCCTGACCATTCATACTAAAATTAACCTCACAGGTTTAAGGGTCAGGTAGGTACCTGTCCCTTAAAGTAACTTAAACTCAATTCACACCTTGGTCCTTAACCGTACCCCCCACCTGGAATAAGCATCTGTACCTGTGGGGACCGGGCTTTGGTCCCCACGAGGCTGCCTTTTTCTGGAAAATGGTTCCCACGATGTTGGAAGTATTTGCCCGCCCACACACACACATGCACGCACGCACGCACGCACACACACACACACACACACACACACACACAC